TGTCATTAGGATGGCTTTGGATACTGAACATGTCTGACACAGTTATCCAGCAGTGGTTTTCAGAAATGACATATTTTGTGGTGTCCTGTTTTGAAAGAGGCAATTAACATTGTCATATTTAAATATATTAAGTTATATGGATTTATATAGATTGTTTATGATAAAAGTTAAATCTTTTGTGCATGTATGGTGTTTGCATTAATATTAAGGTTATATACCCTAAAAGTTCCTTGATATAAAACTTTTTTTAAACACAAAGTTGATCTTGTAAACCTGTCATTTTCACATTTATTTTCTCTACTGATTTGTGTAAGGTTTGCCTTGGCATTCATAAGGGAAAAAAAACAACTAAATTTCAGGGAAAATTAATTTTTTTCTAAATAATTGCCCTAATCTCTAAGACTCGCTTAAAGTTTAGGGTAACTTTCTACTTGGTAAGGCTCTTTGTGTAACTGGGGTGAATTGAATTCACCTTCTTGTGAACTTGTTTTTGGAGCAGCAGTTCTAGAATGGATTGAATTCAGCTTTTAGCGAAACTTCTTCTCGGAGCAGCAGCTCCAGACATGAACTGTTGTTTCTAGTGTCTGACTAACTCTCGGTGGGTCACGACCAAGTCAGACTGGGTAATGTGTTGTTATTGGACACATAGTGGTGATACCTCCGCCTTCGTTTTGGGAGGTGGAAATAAACACAAAACCCCATAATGTCTCCAATGGTTTATTGACTACATGAAAAGAAAAAAGCTGGACTGACTCATTGCTCTCTCTGTGTGATGTCATGTATAATTGTTGATTCTGTCCTCCCATCTTTTCCTCCCAGTCAAAGCAAGCTACTGTAGCTTTATAAAGAGCACTACCAGACAGTGATACATTCATGACTTGTTTCTCATTCTGTGCTTGGACTGCAGGCCCTAGCTGTTATAACATTTGGACAGACCTGGAATTGCTTGTAAGTGGATGCTGGCAGTGTTATACACCAGTTGGTAAAAAGACCTGGAATTGCTTGTACTTAATGGAAGAACAATCAGGAGCAGTGAAACATTTTCAGACAAATTGGTTTGCTCAGTAGCTAAAAAGATCACTTTTTAGTCTGTGATACATGTGGTCAGTCAAGAGTTTCAGACAGCAGACTGTGACTTACCTCCCCCCAGCTGACAGTGGCTAACAGAGCTGTGCCAAGAATAGAGGTGAGTTTCTGGCAGGCTCTGAAACCTTGGGGAGCTCTGAAACCTTGGGGTGCTCTGAGGCCGGTAAACTGTGCGAGTTCTGCTAGTAGCCTAATCTGGGGTAGCGCTAGTTACGTACAGATGTTAAAAACGACTTAAATTGACTTTTAGAAACAAAATAGGGTTGATTTGACTTGAGCCCTCTTTAACTCTATAGTAGTCTATGAAAACATAGATGTAACATAGATGTATGGATTTTTGGCAGATACTGTTTGGAAGAGATCAGTGAGTAGAGCACCCTAGTAAACCCAGTGGGCTGTGATATGTCACCAAATTAGGTGCATGCGCTGTCATGACCTTTAAATGTAGTGATGGCAAAACAGTAGTATTTGGAAACTTCTCACCAAGACTTCACTTTTCTCGAAGGGGTTGCTGTTCTAGAAACCCGGATTCCACTTTGATTACCAGACTATGTGTATCTTGCGGCAATGCCAATTGTAAAGCAAAGATAAATATATCTGTACTTGTATTGCAGAGAAGGTGTGTTTGTGTGTGTGTGTGTGTGTGTGTGTGTGTGTGTGTGTGTGTGTGTGTGTGTGTGTGTGTGTGTGTGTGTGTGTGTGTGTGCATGCGTGTGTGCATGTGTTGGGGTAAGGGGAGTATCACATGTATGCAGATAAGTCTTTTAAACTTCATGGAGTAGTTTATGTTTGATTTCAGAGAGAGTTCTTGTGGAGGGGTCATAAGTCTGGAAGCATCTTGTTATCCAGAAAGCACTGTAGCAGAAATTGGATAACATGTGTATGTAAATTATGTAAACTTGGAAGGGATGTTATTATTTTGTTGTAATGTCATGTGCATTTGTATCCTACATGGCACATTTTCCTTGTCAACAGAATGAAAACATCAGTTCTCCTGACTAGAAATAATTGCATTTAGAAACTATTATCATGACATGATTGTGTACCCTCTATGTCAGTACAAGTAAGGACTAACATGCATTATACTTGTTTTTGAACCAGTGTTATGTTAATGATGTTTTTTTTTTTTTTTTTTTTTTTTTTTGAAGGAGTTGTCCATAGCAGTTGGGGAGAATAAAGCTAAGAAAGCTCATCATTGATTCTGCTGCATAAGTGCATTGTAATTTGTTTTGGATGAGAGAACACAGTTCTTACTGTGCAAAGAGTCATGTATTTATATTTATATGTATTAATATTTGTGTCAGCTCCTGTGATTAATTCTGTGTGCATCTCACCTGAATTGTCAAGGTGAGCACGTCAAAGGTAGAATGTCTATTTGGCAGATAGTCCAGGGTGTTAAGTCAACATGCCAGGCATGCTGGTGAATAGGAAGGTGTGGTGGGGGATGTGTTCAGTTTACAAAGACCATGAGGAATAAGGACCGAAGTGACATACTGTCAAAGTGATGGCAGGGGCCAGATTTGGCATATTCACTGGCGTGTAATATGGTTTATATTAATGCTTTAGCTAAAATAAATATATATAAATAGATGCATACTGATTTTTTTACCATTTGACAATAAATTCAAATAAGTTTCTGGTGACAGTTAAGGTTTTTTTTTATAACAGTAGCAGTTGTTTTGCAGGCAGTGCTGGCTTATGATGAGGTATACAAGTACTCTGTATTGAAGGTTACCCCCTTCACAGGGCTCAGGGGTTCAATTCACAGACTTAATAAAATAAGAGGAAAAAAAAAAACCTAATGCAGCTTCTCTACTTCAATGTTTGCCTCACTGGCATCTGGCTACAAATAAGAAAGTTCCCTGTGTAGTGTAACAGCGTCATTTGTTCCTCTCAAACTATAGCTACAGTGGTTGGATTGTTCCTTTGAGAACAGTTGTTTGCAGATAGGGTCCAGGCTGAGGGAGTATGTCTGACTGGAGGAAGTATGGTGAGTTGAATACACTGGCTGTTTATTGTTTCTACAGGTTAATGAACTGCCTGGGTGGTCATTTAGATTATAGGATACCCCTTGTTTTAAGTCTCTCTCTTTTGTGCCTAAGTGGTCAGAAGAAAATGAGGTACTGATGTATATGTTTGAAGCTTTGAAGTTCTAATTTCTGGATTTTTTCTTTAGTTCTAAATGATACAGTCACAAATCTGTAAATAATTGCCCACTTCACTTTATTGAATGTTTGAGTGATTTGCTGTTATCATTTTTCTTTTGTAAGTGACAATGTGCTATTGGTTAATTTTAACAGATAATTTGTTAAATGACACAAATGGGTTCCTCATAAGGCTGTGTCCATAATCACAGTTTCAGCCTGTATATAGGGTTATATATAAATTGGTTTCACTGTTGTAGCCAGCCAACAAAATTGGTTACAGGAGCATTAGACGTGATGAAGGCAGTTTGTAATCAGGTCATAGGCTGAGGTCACCTGGTCTGTTTCCGGTCTATGTGAGTTCAGTTGTGGACATTGTGTATGCCCCTTTCTTATGATATGAATTGCCAGAGACTACACATGAAGTTATAATCACCAGGAATTATGACTTAGGTGTATTAGATGAAGATATGTCTGCAGCAACACAGGAAGCGGATTGCTAGTGGTTCGGCTCCAGTTCTCAGAAACCATATAAAATAGATGGGCTGTGGTCGCATTGTCAGTGTGGATATTGTCTGGGAGATGGGGAAATAAATAGGTGGGGGTGAGTTAACAACCACACAGATGGTAAGGTGGGGAACAGATTGGTAAGTTGACAGACCAACAGAAAAGGAACATATGGAAGGCAAACAGGGAACTTATAATCCTGTATAGAGAGACAGACAGGCAGATAGACATACAGACAGACAGACGGACAGATGGAATGTGTGAAGACATGTACACACTGAGACAGGCAGGTAAACAAACTGGCATAGCCAGATATGTACAGACAGACATGAGAAACTGTAAATGGAGTGTCTGAGTCTCTGACATTGTTCGCATGTAAATCATGTTCCAGACACTTTATGATATGATGAAACATAATTCCTAAAAGCTTTCATGAATACAGACTGCTGCTGCTTGCCCCTGTGGCGGTGTTTTTTTGTGAAATATTTACTTGATGACTAGAGCTCTCCTTCAGTTGGTAATTTCTTTGTTTATGACAGGATAACTTATATCAGGTTTGTTGCTCTGCCATCATATCAGTAAATGTAAAGCACTGCTATCTCTTCATTGTCATTATGAAATAAAAAAAAAAGTTTGGATAAGAAGATGTCTGTATCAGATATGGTGAGGGTGACATTGTCTGTGGTTATAATTAGGATGGAATAGTACTGTCTGATAAAGAGAGTAAATTATGTGTTCAGTGCACTGTTTGCTACTCAGATTTTAACAAAATTTATTACTGCTTCTAAGGTTTATGGAGGCTGAAATTACTTCATGCATGGATAGCAAGCCTTGAGTCATAACTATAATCAAACAGCATGCCCCTGAACACATTATATCTCTTTTAGCTATTTTAATATGCAATTGTGTTCAAAAATTGTAATTCAAAATTTCAGTTGATTGCAGGTTCAACAAGCTCTTTTAATACAGTTGGAAAGATGGCATTGGGAAGGGTCCATTCAAAGCAGCACAACATTTAACTGGAAATAATCTAAATGATGCCACCACACACACTCAGATATACAGGGATTCTCATAAAATCTATTGTTAAGCAAATAGACTGACAAATAGACTACCTGGTGACATCATGTAGACTAGATCTGGTTAAAGGTTCAAGTTGCCTTGTTGTGAAAATATTTGATGACATCATCAACTAAAAAATGTCATTTTCTGTTAGCTTTTGATGTCTTAAGTCATTACCAATGTCCTCTCTTATCGTTCCAGGTCCGGCCACAGTCCGCATGGTCTCTCAAAACGGCCCGCCAATGCCAATGCCGATGCAGGTGCCACCGGGCCACATAGTCCAGCAGATTGTGGACGAGAACGGGATCTTAACACACGTGATTCTCTCTCCTCAACCTCCTCCAGGAATGACACCAGCTCCCTCTATCAGTTCGGTAGGATACTATGTTAGTATTGCGATTTCTTTCTTTTTTTCTCGTCGTCCATCGAAGATGCTTGCATGCAGCAACCCAAGTGATGTAGAAGTTGTGTAGTTGAGCTCCCCCTGGTGGTGAGGATGATGCATGACAAGCCACAACCTTACCTAGAGAGCTTGGTATAGTATACTATTGTTTTGTAGCTCCATCTTGTGGTGAAGATGCTGCATGGAAAGCCACAAATCTGTTTAAAGAGCTTGGTGTAATATTTATCTTATCAATCACTGTACTGTATTTCAAGTTCAGTTTTTGGGGATGACAACAACAAATATGCATGGCAGTAGCCAGAAGAAATTCTAAGTATATAGAAGCATGTGTGTACACATGATGTACAGAGTTGCATATCAATGTGTTTGTTTAAAAACAGTAAAAAAATGTAACTTTATTTAAATGTAATAGTCTTTAGTGTTTATTATGCCATAGCCGGAAGAAGTTCTAAGTATATAGAAGCATGTAATGTAAAGAGAAGCATATTAATATGTTTGTATAGATACATAGTAAAAAAAATAATAATTGTAACTTAATTTAAATGTAGTGTTAATTTAGTGTTAATTATGCTTTGTGTAAAGTGTTCCATATTATATAAACTAAAAAACAAAATGCATGACTTTATCCAGAAGAACTGCTGAAGAGCAGTGTAGGGGAGAAAGCTCATGTTATCAATGACACTGTTGTGCAGTAATGTTTCTGGAAAGGAAGAACCTCATAACCAGCATATTAAAGATAAAAGTCAAAGGAGTATAAACCGGTATATCAGACCACACTTCCCGTTTTCAAGGTGTGTGTCAGATNGGGGGGGGGGAGATTGTATAGAAGGCATGTGTTTGCCTCATGGCTTGTTTTAAAGAACTAAGTGTGATAAAGTTGTGTGAAGGTGTTAATTTTTGTCTTAATTTGTGGTCCAAGTTAGTATTGATATAACATAACCTGAGATAGTGGACATTGACATAGGTCAAGCTAACTTGCTTACAAACCTTGTACTAGAATACTAAGCACAGACTATTATTTAGGTATTTTATTATTGCCACTTTTACTGTTAATCTGTAAAATCTGTTGATTTTTTAAATTAACTTTTTTTTTTACATAGTAGTTTTGTGCTTTCCTTTGTTATAGCTTCTGAGGTTCATGTTACTGAAATTTTCATGGAAAGGGCTATATATAGTAATAGGGCTAGTGCATTTTAGGCTAAGACCCCATTCCCATAGATCAGTCAGCATAGATGGGCTCAACCTTGTTGGGACTCGGGCTGAGTGCAGTCAGCTTAACTGAATGACACCTCTTGTTTCCAATGTCTTCATATAATAAGTGGCTTTTCTGTATTCTACTCAATGTCAAGAGGAGGCATTTCATTCAGTTAAGCTGATTGCACTCAGTGAGAGTCTCCACAGACTCGGGACTTTTCTATGTAGACCAATGGTGTCTATAGGAATGGGGTCCTAAGCCCTCAAATTATGTTATATTAAGTGAAATGAAACCATGATATCAGAATCCTTGTTGACATTATGGTTGTGAGGGTATACATGGGTCATGACTGTGGTGTGCCATTCATATATATATACTTCTGTTGTGAAAAACTGATAAACCACTGACATGCTTACATGCTTCTTAAAATGAAAGTCCTTATAACTTGTATAATATGTTCATTCATATATGTAGTAGGTTTGAAGTAACAGAGTAATACTGAGTTAAGACTGTCTGTGACAGCCCCTAGCAATGCATATAACATTCCATAAAAAACATTCCCTGTCATCTGTCTTCATCTTTTATGACATCTTTGATGTTTGTGACTACAGATTCTACGTCTGCTGTAAAACACAGCTCTAATATCGTACAGATGACATCATGACAACCATCACCAGTGTTTAATACTTTTTTGTCTTGTCTGGTGTGCTTTCTGGCATGTCTGCATTGGCAGTCATTATGAAATCTTTCTCCGTTTGGACCCCAGCTGGGAAATGGTGCCCTTCCTGCATGCAGATAGCACTTCAAAGTTGTAGAGCATTATTACTGTAATCAGTAATGCATGAAGCATACTGGTCCCACACATAATGCTTAATCAAGTTGTATTTTTTTTATTAGAAAGCCTGTTTTAACCAGTATACTTGGAGAAAAGTACTTGAATAGGATGGCAGTAGAAGACATGTATATCTCATTTAATATTAGTGATGTAGTCAGACAACACATCAGAGCGTGCAATCACAGGCTGCCAACTGGCACTAGCGATATTTACAGGCAAGCCAGCCGAGTGGAAATAAGGTCACTCTGCATTATTTGTCACTTAAATGATGCTATTTTTACACAGAGATGCCTGCTGTCTAGACTTGACACCAACTTCCACTGTGGCTCAGGATGCTAAAGTTATCTATTAGAACTGAGCTCAAGACATTGAATATATAATAGGTTGTGGATTAGCAGAGAGTCTAGAAGGTAACATTAAGACAAAATGTGCGTGAATGACTATCCATGATCTAATGCATGTCAAGTTAATGAATGAAATTTATTGATGTGACAATTTGAAGAAAGTGTCTAGTATTGTGTATGGCCAAAAAGTTTGTTTTTTTTTTAATGTGTTGACAGGGGCAGTTTCACAAGTATGATAGCACATATATGACCAGATATGTGACTGTGTTCTTATGCTCAGTGTGATTGAGGAAATATTTTGTTCAGCGACATTTAAAGCAATAATAACTCTTCGTTTCGGCCAAAAAATGAATTTTCCTGGAGTAAACAACAATTTTCCTATACTTACCAATGGTTAATGAATCCATTTTTACATTCAAAGTTAGTCCCAGGTTTTTTTCTAAAAAGTTTGGTTTTTTGTTAAAATCTCTTAAGAGATTTTAACAGAGTATAGACATCAATGGAGGTCACGTGGTCTAAAGACAAGTTCAGATATCAGAATAAAAGCTATAACTGCTGTTTTTGTGGTAAAACAGAATATATTATATTTCTACGAGTTATTCACAAGGTTTTTATTGTGAAATATAGATCTCATACGAAGAGTTATTATCCCTTTAAACAATCTGAGGAAATCTCAATGCACCAGGCTAATATCGTTGAAAAGACAGATAGAAGCCAGTCTGTTGAGAAGCCCCACACAGCAGTGAGCATATATAGGTCTTTAATGCTTTTTCTTCCCTTTGAAGCTATAGAACTTAAGTGCTTTCCCTTTCACTGCACTCTACCTGATTGATTTGTGGTAAAGATGTTTGAAGACTTCAATGAACGGAAACATCAGCAGTTCAATATGGCTCAAAGTCAAAACCCCTCTTCGGGACTCTACGGAATGATGTATGTCATTAGGATGGCTTTGGAGACTGAACATGTCTGACACAGTTATCTAGCAGTGGTTTGCAGACACAACATATTTTGTGGTGTCCTGTTTTGAAAGAGGCAATTAACATTGTCATATTTAAATATATTAAGTTATATGGATTTATATAGATTTATGATAAAAGTTAAATCTTTTGTACACGTATGGTGCTTGCATTAATATTAAGGTTATATACCCTAAAAGTTCCTTGATATAAAACTTTTTTTAACACAAAGTTGATCTTGTAAACCTATCATTTCACATTTATTTTCTCTACTGATTTGTGTAAGGTTTGCCTTAGCATTCATGAGGAAAAAAAACTAAATTTCATTGAAAATTAATTTTTTCTCTAAAAAATTGCCCTAATCTCTAAGACTCACTTAAAGTTTAGGGTAACTTTCTACTTGGTAAGGCTCTTTTGTGTAACTGGGGTGAATTGAATTCACCTTCTTGTGAACTTGTATTTGGAGCAGTAGTTCTAGAATGGATTGAATTCAGCTTTTAGTGAAACTTCTTCTCGGAGCAGCAGCTCCAGACATGAACTGTTGTTTCTAGTGTCTGACTAACTCTCTGTGGGTCACGACCAAGTCAGACTGGGTAATGTGTTGTTATTGGACACATTAGTGGTGATACCTCCGCCTTCGTTTTGGGAGGTGGAAATAAACACAAAACCCCATAATGTCTCCAATGGTTTATTGACTACTTGAAAAGAAAAAAGCTGGACTGACTCATTGCTCTCTCTGTGTGATGTCATGTATAATTGTTGATTCTGTCCTCCCATCTTTTCCTCCCAGTCAAAGCAAGCTACTGTAGCTTTATAAAGAGCACTACCAGACAGTGATACATTCATGACTTGTTTCTCATTCTGTGCTTGGACTGCAGGCCCTAGCTGTTATAACATTTGGATAGACCTGGAATTGCTTGTAAGTGGATGCTGGCAGTGTTATACACCAGTTGGTAAAAAGACCTGGAATTGCTTGTACTTAATGCAAGAACAATCAGGAGCAGTGAAACATTTTCAGACAAATTGGTTTGCTCAGTAGCTAAAAAGATCACTTTTTAGTCTGTGATACATGTGATCAGTCAAGAGTTTCAGACTGCAGACTGTGACTTACCTCCCCCCAGCTGACAGGGGCTAACAGAGCTGTGCCAAGAATAGAGGTGAGTTTCTGGCAGGCTCTGAAACCTTGGGGTGCTCTGAGGCTGGTAAACTGTGCGAGTTCTGCTAGTAGCTTAATCTGGGGTAGCGCTAGTACTCTCCAATTTAGCCAAATGTTAAAAACTACTCTACAGTAGTCTATGAAAACATAGATGTAACATAGATGTATGGATTTTTGGCAGATACTTGTTTGGAAGAGATCAGTGAGTAGAGCACCCTAGTAAACCCATTGGGCTGTGATATGTCACCAAATTAGGTGCATGCGCTGTCATGACCTTTAAATGTAGTGATGGCAAAACAGTAGTATTTGGAAACTTCTCACCAAGACCACTTTTCTCGAAGGGGTTGCTGTTCTAAAAACCTGGATTCCTCTGTGATTACCAGTGTATCTTGCCAATTGTAAAGCAAAGATATATATATATCTGTACTTGTATTGAAGAGAAGGTGTGTGTGTGTGTGTGTGTGCGTGTGCATGCGTGTGTGCATGTGTTGGGGTAAGGGGAGTATCACATGTATGCAGATAAGTCTTTTAAACTTCATGGAGTAGTTTATGTTTGATTTCAGAGAGAGATCTTGTGGAGGGGTCATAAGTCTGGAAGCATCTCGTTATGCAGAAAGCACTGTAGCAGAAATTGGATAACATGTGTATGTAAATTATGTAAACTTGGAAGGGATGTTATTATTTTGTTGTAATGTCATGTGCATTTGTATCCTACGTGGCACATTTTCCTTGTCAACTGAATGAAAACATCAGTTCTCCTGACTGAAAATAATTGCATTTGGAAACTATGATCATGACAGGATTGTGTACCCTCTATGTCTGTACAAGTGGGGACTAGCACGCATTATACTTGTTTTTGAACCAGTGTTATGTTAATGATGTCTTTTTTTTTTTTTTTTTTGAAAGAGTTGTCCATAGCAGTTGGGGAGAATAAAGCTAAGAAAGCTCATCATTGATTCTCCTGCATAAGTGCATTGTAATTTGTTTTGGATGAGAGAACACAGTTCTTACTGTGCAAAGAATCATGTATTTATATTTATATATATATATTAATATTTGTGTCAGCTCCTGTGATTAATTCTGTGTGCGTCTCACCTGAATTGTCAAGGTGAGCATGTCAAAGGTAGAATGTCTATTTGGCAGATAGTCTAAGGTGTTAAGTCAACATGCCAGGCATGCTGGTGAATAGGAAGGTGTGGTGGGGATGTGTTCTATGGGAAGATGGGAGATAGGGTCAGATAGGAAGTGTGTTTACGAAGACCATGAGGAATAAGGACTGAAGTGACATACTGTCAAAGTGATGGCAGGGGCCAGATTTGGCATATTCGCTGGCGTGTAATATGGTTTATATTAATGCTTAAGCTGAATTAAAGAAATATATAAATAGATGCATAAGGATTTTTTTTTACCTTTTGACAATAAATTCAAATAAGTTTCTGATGAGAGTTAAAGGTTTAGTATAACAGTAGCAGTTGTTTTGCAGGCAGTGCTGGCTTATGATGAGGTATACAAGTACTCTGTAGTGAAGGTTACCCCCTTCACAGGGCTCAGGGGTTCAATTCACAGACTTAATAAAATAAGAGAAAAAAAACTAATGCAGCTCCTTTACTTCAATGTTTGCCTCACTGGCATCTGGCTACAAATAAGAAAGTTCCCTGTGTAGTGTAACAGCGTCATTTGTTCCTCTCAAACTATAGCTACAGTGGTTGGATTGTTCCTTTGAGAACAGTTGTTTGCAGATAGGGTCCAGGCTGAGGGAGTATGTCTGACTGGAGGAAGTATGGTGAGTTGAATACACTGGCTGTTTATTGTTTCTACAGGTTAATGAACTGCCTGGGTGGTCATTTAGATTATAGGATACCCCTTGTTTTAAGTCTCTCTTTTTTGTGCCTAAGTGGTCAGAAGAAAATGAGCTACTGATGTATATGTTTGAAGCTTTGAAGTTCTAATTTCTGGATTTTTTCTTTAGTTCTAAATGATACAGTCACGAATCTGTAAATAATTGCCCACTTCTCTTTATTGAATGTTTGAGTGATTTGCTGTTATCATTTTTCTTTTGTAAGTGACAATGTGCTATTGGTTAATTTTAACAGATAATTTGTTAAATGACACAAATGGGTTCCTCATAAGGCTGTGTCCATAATCACAGTTTCAGCCTGTATATAGGGTTATATATAAATTGGTTTCACTGTTGTAGCCAGCCAACAAAATTGGTTACAGGAGCATTAGACGGTGATGAAGGTCGTTTGTAATCAGGTCATAGGCTGAGGTCACTTGGTCTGTTTCCGGTCTATGTGAGTTCAGTTGTGGACATTGTGTATGCCCCTTTCTTTTGATATGAATTGCCCGAGACTACACATGAAGTTATAATCACCAGGAATTATGACTTAGGTGTATTAGATGAAGATATGTCTGCAGCAACACAGGAAGCGGATTGCTAGTGGTTCGGCTCCAGTTCTCAGAAACCACATAAAATAGATGGGCTGTGGTTGCATTGTCAGTGTGGGTATTGTCTGGGAGATGGGGAAATAAATAGGTGGGGGTGAGTTAACAACCACACAGATGGTAAGGTGGGGAACAGATTGGTAAGTTGACAGACCAACAGAAAAGGAACATATGGAAGGCAAACAGGGAACTTATAATCCTGTATAGAGAGACAGACAGGCAGATAGACAGACAGACAGACAGACAGACAGATGGAATGTGTGAAGACATGTACACACTGAGACAGGCAGGTAAACAAACTGGCAGAGCCAGATATGTACAGACAGACATGAGAAACTGTAAATGGAGTGTCTGAGTCTCTGACATTGTTCGCATGTAAATCATGTTCCAGACACTTTATGATATGATGAAACATAATTCCTAAAAGCTTTCATGAATACAGACTGCTCCTGCCTGCCCCTGTGGCGTTGTTTTTTTGTGAGATATTTACTTGTTGACTAGAGCTCTCCTTCAGTTGGTAATTTCTTTGTTTATGACAGGATAACAGACTTATATCAGGTTTGTTGCTCTGCCATCATATCAGTAAATGTAAAGCACTGCTATCTCTTCATTGTCATTATGAAATAAAAAAAAAGGTTGGATAAGAAGATGTCTGTATCAGATATGGTGAGGGTGACATTGTCTGTGGTTATAATTAGGATGGAATAGTACTGTCTGATAAAGAGAGTAAATTATGTGTTCAGTGCACTGTTTGCTACTCAGATTTTAACAAAATTTATTACTGCTTCTAAGGTTTATGGAGGCTGAAATTACTTCATGCATGGATAGCAAGCCTTGAGTCATAACTATAATCAAACAGCATGCCCCTGAACACATTATATCTCTTTTAGCTATTTTAATATGCAATTGTGTTTAAAAATTGAAATTCAAAATTTCAATTGATAGCAGGTTCAACAAGCTCTTTTAATACAATTGGAAAGATGGCATTAGGAAGGGTCCATTCAAAGCAGCATGACATTAAACTGGAAATAATCTAAATGATAATACCACACACACTCAGATATACAGGGATTCTCATCAAATCCATTGTTTAGCAAATAGACTACCTGGTGACATCATGTAGACTAGATCTGGTTAAAGGTTCAAGTTGCCTTGTTGTGAAAATATTTTTGGACATCATCAATTAAAAAATGTCATTTTCTGTTAGCTTTTGATGTCTTATAAGTCATTACCAATGTCCTCTCTTATCATTCCAGGTCCGGCCACAGTCCGCATGGTCTCTCAAAACGGCCCGCCAATGCCTATGCCGATGCAGGTGCCACCGGGCCACATAGTCCAGCAGATTGTGGACGAGAACGGGATCTTAACACACGTGATTCTCTCTCCTCAACCTCCTCCAGGAATGACACCAGCTCCCTCTATCAGTTCGGTAGGATACTATGTTAGTATTGCAATTTCTTTCTTTTTTTCTCGTCGTCCATCGAAGATGCATGCATGCAGCAACCCAAGTGATGTAGAAGTTGTGTAGTTGAGCTCCCCCTGGTGGTGAGGATGATGCATGACAAGCCACAACCTTACCTAGAGAGCTTGGTATAGTATACTATTGTTTTGTAGCTCCATCTTGTGGTGAAGATGCTGCATGGAAAGCCACAAATCTGTTTAAAGAGCTTGGTGTAATATTTATCTTATCAATCACTGTACTGTATTTCAAGTTCAGTTTTTGGGGATGACAACAACAAATATGCATGGCAGTAGCCAGAAGAAATTCTAAGTTAATAGAAGCATGTGTGTACACATGATGTACAGAGTTGCATATCAATGTGTTTGTTTAGAAACATTAAAAAAATGTAACTTTATTTAAATGTAATAGTCTTTAGTGTTTATTATGCAATAGCCGGAAGAAGTTCTAAGTATATAGAAGCATGTGATGTAAAGAGAAGCATATTAATATGTTTGTATAGAAACATAGTAAAAAAATAATAATTGTAACTTAATTTAAATGTAGTGTTAATTTAGTGTTAATTATGCTTTGTGTAAAGTGTTCCATATTATACAAACTAAAAAACAAAATGCATGACTTTATCCAGAAGAACTGCTGAAGAGCAGTGTAGGGGAGAAAGCTCATGTTATCAATGACACTGTTGTGCAGTAATGTTTCTGGAAAGGAAGAACCTCATAACCAGCATATTAAAGATAAAAGTCAAAGGAGTATAAACCGGTATATCAGACCACACTTCCCGTTTTCAAGGTGTGTGTCAGATCGCATTACAGAGTATCATACCCCATCACAAATTTTGTAAGCCTACCTGTCATCCGGGTATCGCGCCTCGTTTTCGTCAAGTAGGAGTCGTATGAATACAGCTTCCGCTATCAAAATTAGGTCTACTTTTCTAAATTAATATATAAGTTTGCAAGTTCTTATTTACAAAACATCATTGGCTATGTTCAAACCTAAACTTTATGTTAAAAAATTGCGGTATTGTCAGATTTTTAGCATAAACAGGGAAAATTGCAGCAGCGCATGGATCTAGATGAGATGCACTACTTTCCAACCCCACTTAGGATCATCGCTATCACATCGCGCACCAGGCAAAATCGGTGTGGTGGCTGATACTCTGTAATGCAATCTGACACACACCTTGAAAACGGGTAGTGTGGTCTGATATACCGGTTTATTCTGGATCCGTAGGTGCCGAGTCTGGTAGTTGGGTAGGCCTGGAGAGAGAGAGAGAGAGAGGGAGAGAGAGAGAGAGAGAG